ACAATGCACTTGCGTGTCACCCCCCCTGCGCGGCGCACCCGTCCGCTGTGCGCCGGCTCGAGCGCCTATTGCCAAATCGCGACGTTTGAGCGCAGCGCACGCATCCTCTGGGCGCCTGAGCGCGGCGGAATCTTGCCAGAATGTGGCCGCAGGAAGAGCCTCCGGCGGGCCTCCGGCGGACGCCTGGCGGCGTGGCGCTGCGCGCCGGCCTGCGGCCCAAAGCCCGAACGAGCGGTCAAGTTAACTTGACGCGCCGAATCCCTTGGTTGGCCCTCGCAGCTGTGATACAAAAGTGGGGACGCGCCTGGCGGCGCGCCCCCAAAAATATCTTTACGGCCTTGGCGACAGAGATTTCTTTCTTTCTTTCAGCTTGCCTTTGCTCGCCGATACGAAGTCATCGCAGTTGTGTCCTAGAAGACCTGGCGGAAGGCTCCTACACACCGGACAATGCTGGCGCTGCTTCTGGCGCTTGAACCGACAGCTTTGCTGCTGCCGACTCCCATGAGCGGGCGGCGGGCGGTGGGAGCGTCGAGCAGCCCGAGCCGCAGCAGCCGAGTCACCGCGCTGGACCGGCGCCAGGCCGTCACCTCCGCCGCCGCCGCCGCCGCCGCAGCTACTCTTGGCGTCTCCACCGCCGCCATCGCTGATGGCAAGCCCAAGGTCGTCGTCTTTGGTGGCTCAGGCTACGTCGGCGCATACGCCTCGCGGCTGCTCCTCGGCAAGGGTGCTCAAGTCGTGTCCGTGTCTCGCAAGACGCCAGCCGAGCAGGCGGACAAGGTCAAGGCGATCCTCGGCGCTCCCCTCGCTGGCGTCGAGTACGTGCAGCTCGACGCCAGCACTGGCGACCTGAGCGGCGTGCTTGGCGGCGCCGCGGCCGTGATCTCGTGCATCGGCATCGCGCCGGGCGGCGCCAACATGCGGGACGGCAACGGCCTGGTCAACGTCAAGATCGCTGCGGCTTCCAAGCTGGCCGCGGTGCCAAAGTTCGTCTACCTCGGCCTCGCGTCGGAGCTCGCCAGCTCGCCCATCAAGTTTGTCTTTGGCGACTACGTCAAGGGCAAGGCCGAGGCCGAGGCGGCGGTCGGCAAAGACTACCCATCCGCCCTCGTGCTCAAGCCTGGCATCATCGCGGGCGGGCCGCCGGGCGAGGTGCGGCCGCCTGGGCCGCCGGGCATGGCGCCGGTGGCGGTAGAGGATGTGGCACGAGCGGCGGTGGCGGGCGCGCTGGGCAACGCTGCCGGGACGGTGGATGGGAACACGGCGATCGCGGCTGCCGCGGCCAAGTAGGCAGCCGCGCGTGCTTGCAAGCATGTCGAGTGGGAAGAGAAGAGCAGAGAGAGCAGGAAAGATGGAACTTGGAGCACTCGGCTTAAATTGGCACCTTTTTTTTCCGAATGCGCGCGGGGGATTTCTTCTGTCATCCCATGGCGCTGGAGCCCATTCTCGCGGCTGCGTCGCTCGCCCTTCAGCTCGGCCCGGCGTTGTCGCCGCGGCCGCCGCTGCCGCTGGTCCCGCGTGCGGTCGCGCCGACGGCCACTGCGACAGGCGGGGCCGCGGGCGTCGGGAGCGCTGCCGCCTCCTCCCTCCTGACGGCCGACGCCGTGGTGGACACGATCCTCGACATCGGCGTCTACACTCTGCTTGCCGGCGTGGTGGGCATCACGCTCTACTCGGCGCGGACGCCGGGCCTGTGGCCCCTTGCGTCGAGAGACCGTGCCGCCGACCGCGCTCCTCCCGCCTGCCGCAGATATTCGTGACGCTAGACGAGTCCAACAAGACACAGGGTGACACCGCTCCCGCCGCCGCTCCCGCCGCCGGTCCCGCCGGCTGATCGGCCCCGCACCGCCGCGTCCCGCCGCGTGCCCTCCACTCCCTACGCCCCTCCCAACTCCCTCTGCGCAGGCGGCTGGCAGAAGCGCGACGAGGCGGAGGTGCGCAGACGCTTCCAAGACACATCCTCAGCACGCCCGCAGTGACGTGTCCGAGACCTGCCCCCGCAGGTGCCCGAGCAGCCGCAGCGGTACGGAGAGGTTCCGACCGACGTCGAGTCTCGGCTGGTGCGGCTGGGAGACACTTGCGAGACAGCTATGAGACACTTCCAACAGCCGTCCCGTGTCACCCCTCGCCCTCTTCACGCCTCGTCCTCGTGACACCGCAGCGCTCGGGCGCCGTGTACGATCCGGTCACGGATGAGTGGACGATGCCCAAGGCGCGCCGCTCTCCCATGTCTCTCTTGCCGCCCCTCCATTGCTCCGTCGGAGCTCGGGTGGTCTCGGGTGATCTCGCGTGATCTCGGGTGATCTCGGGTGTTCTCCCTGTCTCGTGCTGCTCCTTTCTCCCCCGCGTCTCTCCCGCCGCCCTCCCGCCCGCTCCGGCTGCCCTCTCCGGCTGCCCCGCTGCTCTCCGAAGAAGGCGGCCCGTCGTGAATGGCGTCTCTTCACACCTGGAGCTGTGATCAGGAGCCCGCCGCCTCCAAGGCGGCGGCTGGCGGCGGCGGCGGCGGCGGCGGCGGCGCGGAGGTGAACCGATACGAGCGGCGAGCGCGCAAAAAGGCAAAGGCGCAGATGAAGAAGAAGAAGCGATGAGCACGCGTTCGGCGTCGCGCGGCTTGGCGCTGCACCAGGCGGCGAGAGGAGAAGCGCGTTTCGCTCTGTCCGGCTCCTCGAGTCCGGCCGCTATCCGCGGGGTTTGGGGCCGTGGCCTCCTCGCTCCCGCGCCATGCATGAACATAAAGATAGAGACGTGAAACGGTTCCTCTTTTCCGCGCCGCAAGGCGCGGGATTCTTCACACAAGATTTCATCACGCCGCCCCCCCTGAGCCCTGTACGTCTCCCATGATCGACCTCCCGATGTTATTTTTTTCATGACTGGGTTCGAGCTCCTATTCGCACACCGAATGAAAACCGGGCGCGATGTGCCACCCCTCCCCCCGGAGGGCCCAAACCCTGGATGGGCATTTGGAGTGCGTTCAGCGCGCCCCAGGGCCCCCCGCTAAAGAAGCCCATGATATTGGCAACATATTGAAATCATGCCCACCCGCTCGACCTCCTTGCTCAGCGCTAGCAGCGGCGCCGCTCCGGCTGACGAGGCGACACGGATTCGGCTCGCGTGCGCTTACATCGCGGATGCTTCACACGGCTGGCGCCCAGAGTGCCACGGCGTCGACGTGCGATCGCTCACCGCCTTCGAGCTCTTCCACTCGCGGCCGGTGCAGGCTCTGCGGTACCTCAACGTGCTCGCGTACATGGCGATTGCGCTGTGCGAGACGCCGGGATGGTGCATCACCGCTAAGGGCACGCTGGCGGCAGAGTGTGCGGCCGACTCCGGCAGCCTCGAGGCTCACCACACGTTTGGCTTCACGCCGCTGTCGCCGCTGGCGGGCGGCGCACTCGAGGCGTGCTGCGTCCTCCTCTTTGTCCTCCAGCTCGGCCTCAAGGCGCGCTTCATGGGCCGGCATCGCTTCGCCCGGTCAGCCCCGGCAGTGCTCCAGCTGCTGCTGCTCACGGTGGCGGCGGCCGACCTGGCCGTCTGGTGCTCTTCGGTCTCGTGGCGCCGCACGCCGCTCTCGCGCCCGCTCCGGCCGCTCTTCATCGTCTTCGCACACCGCAAGCTCCTCTCCACCTTCTACGCGGTCGTGCGCATGCTGCCTGCCGTCCTCGAGCTGCTGCTGCTCATCTCCGGGCTGCTCGCCTTTAGCGCGCTGATCAGCTTTGTCCTCTTCGGGCCGTGGGAGCCGCCGCTGGCCGCCTTCGCCTCGTACGGCTCGTCCTTCTACTCGTCCTTCCTCCTCCTCACCACCACCAACTTCCCCGACGTCGCGCTGCGCCCGTACCGCTCCTCGCGCGCCACGGTGCTCTACTTTGTCGTCTTCCAGCTCACGCTAGTCTTCGTCGGCCTCGCGCTGATGCCCGCCCGCCTAGAAGCGGAATATCTCCCCCTATCTCCCCGTATCTCCCCGTATCTCCCCATATCCCGCGCGCGGGTGCGCCATCTTCTGGCTCGCCGTGCTGAAGCGGAACCACACCATAAGATTGAAAAGGCGCTTGTCTTCTTTTTCTTTTTCTTTTTCTTTT